CAGTACCTGGACAATTTATGCATCATGTGACTCCAGGAAATTGGACTAAGTCCACAATCAAGTTAACTGGAGGCACATCGTACAAGTGCAACCTTTTTTCTTCAGTGGGACTTCCCATGAACAATGCAGAACTGGACTAAACCCAACTAATTTAAATTATGTTCTCTAACCAGTTATCTCTTGCCCTTGTGCCTTTGTTTCTTCAATGTTTGAGCTTGGTTTTGGCCTTGCTAATGTTGTTCTTGTTGATTTGTACTCAACCTCCCAGTTCAAGATAATTTTAAAGGCTTTGTTTTGTTTGACATGTCTCCTCCTGTTATCACTGATGAAAATACAGGAGGCAATTGTGGCACCACGAAGGGAATGAAGGGCAAACAGATGCGCAGTTACAATGGAATAAGTTTCAGAGACAGAAGCTACCGAATATACTGCGGAATAAACAGTTGTAGAATACCACACACGTGTATACTAAGAAGAAAGTCCCTGTTTCTATTTGGAATTATCCCCAGGTGAATGAATACACGATTTCCGCCTCAGTCTCTTGCTGCACCAAATTCTCAAGAGCTATGCCTTTTTGGCATCTCCGAAGGTCTGAAATAAAAGTTTTCCCATTCGTTCCGTAGAGTAATGATATCCAGTTTTGCCCCTCAATTTCCGTCCTTCTCAGGCAAAGTATTTGGGTGCCTGCTTTTTCACCCCTCGCCGTTCAACGTGATGCTTTCTCCCCTACATCCCTTCCTGGAAAGAAAAAGTCGTATCTGCAGAACTTAAATCGCCCTCGGTCGCTGAGGCCTTTCCCATTGACTGCTCTGCTGAGTTCTTTGACTACCCGGAAACAGCGCTAGCAGCGCATTCCCGGGTTGCGGGCACCCAAGGCTTGCCAGTCGCCAGCCAGGTGCTTCAGTCGTTCCCAGTGCGCATGTCTCTCTGCTGCGGGTTCCGGGTTGGCGCTTGCGTGGAATGGCTGGCCGGCCGTCAGCCTTTCTTTTGGTCAGGCCCATTGGAAGGCGGCTCCTCCCCTCCCATTCCCTTTCCCCTCCCCGGCAGCGCGGC